TAAAACCAATCGTAATTCTTTTCCTCCTGGCTTAGGAACCCTTCAACATTTCCAGCAATTCGATAGATCTGTTCCTGAATATGAAACTGTATTGACACCGGGCGACTTCGAACTGGGAGCAGAGATAGTTGACAACTTGCGATATATGCAACCAGATGTAGATTCCGATGCAATGTACGGAACAACGCGTTTTGAAGGAGACATTGCAAACGAAAATGCAAGTTTAATTCTTTTTTCGGTGACAGAAAAAAAGACACTTGAGGTTTTCGCACTTTGATTTCCAGTTTTTTCTGAAGCATTTTATTGAAATAAATTCATTCTCTACCCTTGCATTCTGTGCATTTGGGAAAACGCACTATTCCCTTTTCTAGCTTTCTGTGTACGAGTTTAATATGAAAACCTGTGAGACACTTGCATGTTTGAAAGAAGAGAGTTCTTAAAAGGTTATATCTCTTTTTTGGATCATTTGGTAGCAGTGAGCTCTGAAATGGTTCACTGCTAATTTTTCTGAGGGTGATGAAGTAATGCAAAAGCAGCTTTCTTCGTTTTTAATAACTACAGTGATTTGTGATCAACAGAAATTTGCTGAATACGAGCTTATTTTAACGATAGACCGAAAATCTCGACTTGAAATGGCCGTTACCAGCTACCTTTCAAAATTTCCTTCATTGTACCAAATAGTATTAAATGGGTTCTGAAGGCTGATTTTGCGATCGCATGAAAGGCCTTTGAACTTCTCTAAAAACAAACAAAAGGCGTTGTGACCGGCTCTCAAAATAGGAATCTGATCTGAATATGATTCCTTTATCTACAGCTGAATGCGTCAACGATAGAGTTATTTTTGAATGGAGGAGCACGTCCAGGTAGCGGAAACTGGTACAACGCCATAAGAAATCGACATCAACTTTGGCCAAATGGTCGGATTCCTTACACAATCAGCAGTCAATATAGCAGTTATAGGTGGGTGTGTGGAAATCTCATCTACTGCATGTTACTTAGCTGATATGAGCAAAAGCTTACTACATTTCTAAAACAGGGACTTCTTCTTGTTTAGCCGTTCTCTGATAGCCGCTTCAATGCAAGAATATTCGACTCATACATGCATTCAGTGGGTTCCAAAAACAAACAACGATGTCAACTACGTCTACATTTTCCCTGATCGAGGATGTTACTCCATGGTAGGAAAGATTGGTAGGTTTTGATAATGTAAATTCGATTTGGACTACTCACGCGAGAAAGTACTTGTTATGAATTGTATTTACCGAATAATCCTTTTTGGACTTGTGCTTTTGTGTGGATGGAACGTTGAGTGCACGCGTTGAAAGCAGTTGAGTAACTATGGGTGAAAATGCGCTTACTAACTGGTTGGCTCGAATAGAAGAAAATCGATATAAAAATAACGAGTTTACCGTTTATTTACATGAATTACAAATGTTTACTAAGCACAGAAATCTAATCAAAACCGAATGAAACATAATTTTTTTTTTTGGATCAATTGCAGCCGAAGTTCAGACAGCAATTTTTCA